CAAGCTGAAGCAGGGAACTGCTAAGGCAGCTGCACCCGGTGCAACCATCACAAAACAAGAGACCCGAGAACTAGAATGGCGAGGCTCACCACCCATTTATCCCTCCGCCTTTCAATTAGCCCCACATGTGTTTATCGGCCAGGCTGGCACAATTAACTAACTCACCCCCTTTTGCATCGATATGATTGTTTGTTTTAGATCTTCTGATACTTGATCCTGTCAACACCTCATGATCACACAAGCTGGTGTGTTTCTTCCATGTGGGCTTTGTTACTTCCAAGCTTGATGGTCTCTTGTTTATCTTCAAGTTTTTACGACCCCAGATGCTATATTTTGTAATAGCCAGGCCCCATCAGCTTTTTTCACCACATTTGCTTATGCACCCATTTTGTTTTCATCGACTGTGTTGGAAAGATGAGCATCACAAAATGCCAGGTTATTAGAACAAAGTGTTCTTGCGGTGAGAGTACTTGAGTAGAGGCCCAATGTCCATTTGCTACCTTAATATTTAAGGTATATAAATGTATGTACATAGATTTATGTCCCTGTCATTATATATAAATATATTTACATATGTATGTGTCTGTATTTATACCTTTACAAATGTTCTTTGCCTCCTAGTTCTTTCCTCTATTTCCTTTTACTTTCCTCTTGTCTCACTATCATGTTCGACCTTCATTCTGCTTTCAGTTAATTCCTTTCGGCTACATTGCACATGATGAAACTCCATCAGACATTCTAAGCCTTCCTCTCCATCAGTATTAGATCACTTGTTTTTCCCTTGTCCCATAAAAAATGTGCTGAAAAACTTGGCTTATACATGAGTATATATGGTAGATAGATATGGGGGTGGGGGGAGTCTATAAATAGTTCCAGGTCTGTCTGTTGATCTTTATGATTTTTTTTCCAATCAATCTGATGATGTGCCAAATCCTGTCCCCGAGTCAATTTTGGGGATTCCTTGGGGACCTCATTACTTTGCACCTCCTTGCTGCTCTGTTGTACTCCCTTTGTGTTTTGCCCTGGTACGTGAGGGCCTGTCAGACACAATTCCCACAGTGTTTCCAATGTTGTCCCCCATAGTGCTATTGCTCACTGAGAGGACAGCATGTCTTATAGTGGGGCTGGACCTACGGTCCTCTCGGTGCATTGGCTCCTCTGAGCAGGAACATCATCCTTGGGATTTGGTGGGCCAGGTGTGGTCCACTCCCTCTCTCTCCTTCTCTCTTAGTTTGCTCCCGTGTGTTCTGACAGACCTACCCCTCTCCCTGAGCTGTATCTTCAATGCTGTCCTCTATAGTGCATTCTTCTGTTGAAGGAGTCCACAAAGCTGGGATTGTGGCTGGCCCTACGATGTGACCTTCAACTTTGTTTCTGTCACCAAGATCATATTTTCCAACTATTGTTTGTTCCTCTTTGTTTCCAACTTTTACATTTCAGTTGCCAGTGCATCTTGATTGCTTGTTAGATCAATTTCAGAGTGAAGACGTTGGCATGATTCTTCAGTTTCTCCATTACTGCTTTAGTGGTTGGTGCATAAATTTGAATAATAGTTGTATTGATTGGAATTCCTTGCATAGAGATAAATATTACCCTGTCACACACAGATTGTACTTCAGGATAGATCTTGAAATGTCCTTTTTGATGATGAATGCAGGACCATTTCTCTTGAAGGTATCATTCCCTGTATAGTAAACCATATGAGTTTCTGATTCAGAATGGCCAATACCATTCCTGTCCTTTTCAGCTCAGTAACACCTAGAATATTGATTTTTATGCCTTCCATTTAATTACTGATGACTTCCAATTTTCCTGATTATACTTTGTACATTATGGGTTTTAATTATTAAGAGTTCTTTGCAGCTGTTTCTTCTTATTTTGAGTTGCACCCATCAGCAAATGAAGGTCCCAAGGGCTTTACTCCTGAATGCTTTACTCTATATCATTATGCTTGACTGTACTTTGAGAAGGCAGCTCTTCCTCAGGTATATTTTAAGTGCCTTCCAGCTTGAGGGGTTTAATCTGGCCCGATCTCAGATAATGTTCTGCTGCTATTTTAAGGCGTTTGTTTCAGTGTCTTAATTCCTCAGAAGTGGACAGCCCTATTCTTTCTTCGCAGTCTGTTTTCAGTCGGGAAGCTCTGCTCAGATCCATTCACTTTGGGGGACCCTGCATGTGTTTGAAGTATCAGTGACATAGCTTTCAGCACCACAGCAAAACACAGCCATCAGAGTACAACAAACAAGGGGTGGCAAATGATAATGAATCAAGGTTTTTGTTTCATGAATTGTCCTTTTTTTCCCTCCCCAGAATTTCCAGTATTTGTGCAGGCTAGTGATGAGGTTAGATAGGTTTTTGTATTAGACTTTAAAACCTAAGTACTTGCTTTTCAGAAAGCAAGGGAGCTTTAACTCTATTTGGATCATGACATAAATTTAGTCTCCATTGAGGTTATCCTGACTATTAACCAGCAATGTTAAAAGCTTTGTCTGTAGGCAGCGAGTGCATGAAAGAGGATTATGCCTTCCCTAGCTAATCCCCAGGTCTGTGCGTCAGGGCTGTGTAGTTTCTTTATATTTATTCAGTCTGGATGCCTTGGCTATCTGAAGAAAAATGAGGCATCTGGATTGGAGGAAGGCATGTTAACACCCATCTGGATTGGAGGAAGGCATGTTAACACCCTGTGCTATGCTGTGCACACAACCTTGCTTACTGAGAGAAAATCAAAGATGGAAGATGCTAGTATGAATGCAACTTAATGTAAAGAAAACCAAAGCCCTCGTAACTGGACCAGTAAGGCACATCTTGATAAACAGAGAAAAGATTGAAGCTGTCAAGGATATATTTTTTCTTGGATCTATAATCAATGCTCATGGAAGCAACAGTCAAGAAATCAGTCAACACATTGCTTTGGGGAAATCTGCTGTACATCCAAATGTCCCTGTGGGTTTCAGAGATTGTAAATCTTAAAGGGAGTAGAAGCTGCTTCTTTGTCCTGCAGAGCTGCTGGGGTTTTATAGCCCAGTAAGCAACGCACTATGCCACCAAGGTTCCTCTGCAGAAGACCTCTTTAAAGTATTGAAGACAAAGGTGTTACTTTGAAGACTATTGTGCACCTGACTCAAGCCATGGTACTTTTAGTTGCCTTATGTGCTTGTAAAAATTGGATAATTAATAAGGAATTGATACATTTGAATTATGGTATTGGTATATGTGGTAGTTATATAATCTATTGTCAATTTGAGAGAGTTAAGAGTGAATGCATGGAGTTTAACCTTTCAATCAGGGCGCAGTTTGATAATCTCATTTAGAGGTGCTAAGGAGATAAGTAGGTTACTGGAGGCAGGACGCAGGCTCATTCCCTGGAAGATATTGTAGCTGGCAAGACACATGGAGCTATGCTAGTGCCCTGAGCTGGAGGATCCATGTGGAGACCCCTGCCAGTGCTGA